AGGCCCGGCCCGGCCCGCAAAAATTTGCGGGCCGGGCCGGGCCGGGCCGGGCTGCGGGACCCAACGCAGGCCTCTAGTGCAGGTCATATAGTAAAATTCTCATAATAAACTTTTTTTTATAGATCGCATAAATAAAATTACATTCGTTAAGTTCGTTTTAACATGCTCTTTAAAGTAATAACGTTATTTATTTGATTTGATTGTCTAAGAGTATATATTTTACTATCACTATTCGTTGATTTATAAAAAAAAATGTATTATGAGAATTTACTATATGACCTGCAAATCTATTGATTGTGTACACCCCGGAGTATGATGCATCAAGAACACTACCTAAATTTAGGGTAGGATCCGGATCTGCCTGCACATGATAGTAAGTTTATTTACCATGGCTACGTAGAACCTAAATTGTTAAACTTAACATGGATCCTCACGCAAGAAAAGCCGTTAATTTGAATGTTTTGCGTCGACACGATGAGAACATTGTCGAGATCATTGATAGTTCAAGTTATGTCGTTGTTTATAAGTTTGATCATGATCAATCTGCATGGGTATGTTGAACGTTTGTCAACCAAAAAAAAGCTTTATGGCCCGAAAATCACGGATTCTAAACATAATTGACGGGTTCCGAATATTCAAAAAAAATAACAAACAAAAACAAACAAAACCCAAAAATAAAATTGGCAGACAAAGAAGGGTGTTGAAGGCACAATGTTTGTTTTTAGAAGGTTTGTATCCAGATTTTAATACATATGCTTCAATGTCGACGATTTCCCAAATTACAGATAATCTTAATTCGAATATATCCAGATGCGTACAGCCTGCATATGGCTTTATTATTATGAATCGGTTAGGCATCGATAATTTTATGGCTCCTTTAACAGATAGCATGGAACTTGAATTTAAAGACGAATATATTATATATCGTACAGACGATGGTATCATTCAAAGCTTTTTTTTTTAATTTATATCGTCGGTTGGATTATGTTTCTTCATTATTGTTTCACATGACAGATAATATTCATGGAATTTGGGTATATGAAACAAAAGATAGGGAGCGAATAAGAAAGCAATTGTGGGAGTAAGTTGACTTTATTAAATTAAAATTTTATGAATGGACTACCTTAATTTATTAATTTTTTCCGCATTTGCTTTTAGATGTCGTGAATTATCGAAGACTGTCAGTACGTCGCTGCAGTTAGAACAATCTTCGAAATTATCATTCACTCCAACAGCGAATTCAAACTCTTATGGAAAACCAATCGATATTGTGGATCTTCTAAAACGGGCAGAAATAAAACAGATCAATGGAATAACGTCATCCAAACGCAATGTACAATCAGATGACCACTCTCATAAAAATGTAATTGACAAGTTGTTTCAGAATACCAATCATACTGAATCTTTAATACATTCATCAATACCCTCTGTCAGTAAAAACCGAAATAGTTATTAAGGTTCTTATCTATTTTAATTAAATTTATTTGGATCTATATAGATTACACCAAATCAATCTCTTGATGGAAAATTACTTTTGGATTTACTTCGTCAGCCAGCAAATAGTTCCTCAACAACAGGAATAGCATCAAATCCTTATATCTCATCAACACCCTTACCACGATCGATATCATTATCAGGGGATGCTATTTCTCATGATCATTACATGAAGAACCCAGGTCTGCCATTTGTCAAGACAGGCCAAAGCACGTCGATTCCTACGTTAACAAATACATCAAATCATGTGCCTACCACGTCGACAACTCTGTTTGGAGAGAACAATCAAGGTTTACAACGTTCACAGGTTCTCGATGCTTCCATTGCTTCTCTTTCTGAGTTTCTGGACAGAAATGATCAACGTGGAAATCGCATGCAAAAGATAATGAGCAAGCCTGAATTTACTCAAAGATATTTATATTTAATTCAGGTGTGAAGATCTATTGTTCTTAACTAGTTCAAATCTTTCTTTCAATATTAGCATTGCTTTGAAACGAATACTTACTACTACTTTCAAATGAAAAATGCCAGTCTGACACTTCATTTATGGATATTCTCTACCAGAATTACGTGGTTAAAACCCAGGAGAATATGTATAATGGGTCATAAAAAGTGATCAAATTATTGTTCATTCTCATTTAAAATCGAATGAACCCTTAATTATGTCAAATCAAAAATATACCTTTTTTTTTTAGATGTTCTTTTAATGAGGTTTTGTGGATGTGATGTTTGTTGCAAGATTCCATAATTAAACTTTTAAGTATCTTGTCTTATTATTTTAAAGGGTAACTTCAACGCATCATGATGAAACATTAACCTTCTGGATTGGCCAGTCGTGGGAATGTTTTATTGATGCTAAGGATATCCAAACGTGTTCGAATTCGAATAAACAAAATAACGATAAAATTCTATTAACCAAGAAGACCATCTTAAAGTAAAATCATGAGCGTATCTGTTTGTTTTCGTTACAGTCCCTGGTTGACCAGATTGCGCGATTCGAAGAGCTCAAAACTTCAAATCAAAATAACTCAGAGACCTTTTTTAGCCCAAAATACAACTTTAAATGAAATCTGGATACCGTAACCGTCAGCGGCAAATAGATTATTTTCATTTCATTAAAGCACAATTGCGCAATCATTTCTAATTGCATTTAAATTCTTCTTTCATTTTTAAACACAATTATAAATAATTTCGTGTCTTATCGATCATGAATAATAGATTTAAAAAGTTTGATTCTTTATTTTGAAATCTTTATTCAATATAAAAATCATTTTTTTTATTCTATAAACTACTATACCTTTATTTTAATTATTGTACTTAATACCTCCTATAATATATCATGCTACGGAATTAAAGCATTGATGCCTTTAAAAAAAAAAACCAATATAGATAAAACAGACATTGTAAAAACCACGGCTAATTAAGTAAACAATCGGGGCGAAATATTCATAGCCATTAACTCCTGAAATAGCAATTTACAAGCGTATGGAATATGTATTTGTGATATCTAAAAGCATAAAACAATGAGTTATTGGTAAGCATTATTATGAAATAAACATAGATAAACAAAATAAACAGACCTGTGTAGTATTTTTACAAGCTTTACATTCAAAAGTGTTCTTCTTAAGATTTGCTATGGCCATTAGCCCACATATATCACAACAATGAATTCGATAAGCATCTGACGCGTCAAACAATCGTTCCTATAATTGGTTATAAAAAGAATTAGTTATTGATAACTTTCAATAAGCAAAAAATGGTAGCATCACAGCTGATTTAGACTAATATAAATAATAAAACTGATTACTCTGGTCAAATTTGCACATCATTTGGCCAAACTCAATCTTTCTATTCCGAATCTGGCCAAATGACCTGCAGAGTTATAAGTAATCTGTTTACTTAAAAATAAGCCTTAATGGAATATAAATGTATTGATACCTTCAAAAACATGGCTACGCCATGAGAAATCATACAATCGCGTTCCATCTCACCGAAACGTAGCCCACCGTCACGACTACGACCCTCAACCGGCTGACGTGTAAGAATTTGCACTGGACCTCTGGCACGAGAACTAATGATACAACAAATAATAAGTAATAGGGTCTTCCTAAGAAGGATGGTTCAATTATAAAACAAATATATTTACTGAATTTTATCATCCACCATATGTTTCAATCGTTGATAATATGTTGGTCCCAAGAACACTTGTGCAGCTAACTTGCGTCCTGTATGGCCATTATACATTACTTCAAACCCGCGAGAATGGTAACCATTTTGTCGCAAGCTGTTTGAAATAGCTTCAACCGTCACATCAGTGAACGGCGTTGCATCGCCTTCTTGGCCGGTGAGTGTTGAAACCTAGATACCATTCGATTTGTTCGAGAATGACTCTGCATAATGTAGTGCGAAATATATGAAATATGATTATTAAAGTAATTTTACCTTTCCTAATAAGCATTCGACCAAATGACCGATTGTCATACGACTTGGAATAGCATGAGGATTTATAATAAGATCTGGTGTAATTCCTTCAGAAGTAAACGGCATATCTTCTTGTCGATATGTAATTCCAATAGTACCTTTCTGACCATGTCGACTAGCGAATTTATCTATTATGTTAAGAATGTAGATTTGAGAATGAATACCAATAAATCATATGAAGAATAAATTTAACGAATCGTGTATGAAACTCACCACCCATCTGTGGAATTCTTGTACTTCGAACTCTTACTTTAACGAACTTCATTCCTTCGGCATTTGTTGTTACCATCACTTGATCTACGATACCATTTTCTGTACTTCGCATCGGTGTGGAAGCATCTCTATGTGTATGGGAAACTTTTCGTTGACCAAGTTCAATAGTATGCTCTGGAATAGGTGTAACCTTCCCAATAATTATATCATCGCCGGATACCCTTGTACCGGGCGCAATTAAACCATCCTCCTCTAACTTTTCATATGTACCATGTTTGAGACGTAAGGTGGTTTCCCTTGTCGGTTTATCAAATTCTTCAATAGATAAGATGCCCTGTGTAAAATTAATTATATAATCTATCATGAGTTGTCAAATATTATCCAATTTAATTAAAACTTATACATACCACTTTCTTTTCTTGATCCATATAACTTCTATAAAAAATACTTCTAAATAATCCTCTATCTATACTACTTTGATTCATAATTACCGAATCTTCTTGATTATAACCACTATAACAAAGAATTGCTACAATAGCATTTTGACCCGCTGGCAATTCACGGAATCTCAAAAATTCCATAGCTCGTGTTGTTACTAAAGGTTTTTGCGGATAATATAAAATATTTGCCAAAGTGTCCATTCGTAATTGATAATTCGTTACGTAAATACCCATTGCTTGTTTACCCATAGCGGATTGATAAGTATTACGCGGTGACTTTAAAGTAATAAAAAGATGAAAACAGTGAGTTAAATACAAATAATTATATTAAAGTCGATCGGACATTTATTCCACCTACCTGATTATGATCAGGGAAAGGAATAATACTAGCACAAATCCCTAGTATCATACTAGGATGAATTTCACAGTGTGTCCAAGTATGTATATATAAATTTGTTTCACTTTTAACGCGAGCTGCCACATCTTTTTCGTGTGCTTTGGACGCTCGTTGAATACCAGTTTGATAATAATGCCTTGACTCCGCTAAATCTTCTGGGGTCATACAGATCATAACTGTTTCTTCTTCTTCCGCATCTATATACTCAATTGCACCATTGGAAATTAAATCATGCCATGCATAAACTTGTCTATTTCGTCGCCTTTTTGTGCCTTGTTCTTCAGCATCTTCATCTTGTATTTCATCATCAATGCCATCTATATTTTTATCATCATCATCTAGATATTCATCATCATCCGCATGACCACTTGTTCGGCCTTTCTGTTTTACAAAAAATAAAAATATAAGTTATAACAAAGCTTATATACATGATGGATTTAATGGTATATTGACTCAATAAATTACACCATTGCTATCAAACTCTGAATGAGATAAAACAAACATGTCACTTACAAGCTTATTAACATCCAAATTAAGTATAAGTTCTTTACTTATTTTTAAACATTGGTCTTCTACAATGAATAAAGGTCTACACACTCTTCCAGCATCAGTATAAATTCTTAGTTCTTTTTCACGAATGTCTCTAACAACACTAACTTCGGGGCTCACATCAACACTTCGTCTCAAGCCCCTAAGTGTATTAGCTAATTGTTCAGGCGCTGCGGAAATACCTGCCCATTTACCATTTACAAAAACTTTTGTATTGTCTCTAATATTTGCAGGATCAAATTGTTGGTTCAAATTTATCATGCCATATTCTTCCAAGAAGTCTATTATCGGCTTCGAAGAACTTCCAACAGAAATATATGACATCAAGGAAAGGTTCTTAACTAAACCGCAAGCCTGTCCTTCAGGGGTTTCGGCAGGACAAACCATACCCCAATGGGTATTGTGCAACTGGCGAGGTTTTGCAATCTTTCCATCTCTTCCCATTGGAGTATTACATCTTCTCAAATGGGATAGTGTTGATGCGAAAGTGTATCGATTTAGTACTTGAGAAACACCTGCTCGGGACTAAATTCAAAACAAATTTTATCAGGTGAATGAGTTACCAGACAAAATATAACACAATCCAGAATATTTACCTGCATAGCCTTCTTTTGATCACCCCAATTACCAGTTGCAAGAGAATATTTAAGGCCATTAGTAATTGTTTGTGCTTTAATTGCCAAATGAAGATTAAATTCTCTACTTGTATCGATGCACTGTATTGAAACATTGAATTAAATTATAGTCAAAAATGGAAGTTTAATGACATGTGCCTATACAAACCTTTCTTAAATATATCGAGATATCTTTTGTAAGCTTTTTGAATAACATACGAAACAATGATGCCAATAAAGGACCCGCAAGATCCATTCTTTTCTTCCCATAATGATCACGATCATCCAACTCTCGACGCCCGAGAGCAGCCAGTAAAAGTCTGTGCACCATATATCCTAAAAAGAATGCTTTTCGTTTTTCGCACCCATATTCAGTTGAGACATGAGGTAATAATTCTTTCTGTAGAATTTCTTTAGCATATCTAGAGTAACAAGTATCTCATGTTAATGAAACTAACATAGCTAAAATTATGACAATAAATGTCAATAAATATATACTTGATACGCTTATCTCTTGTAGCGCCTGTCGTTGTTCCTCTACGTCCAATCCAATCAGCAGCAACCTAAAATTTCCATATTAGATGGTCATGTTTTTAAAAAAAGGCATAACAAGACATAAAATAAGATGCTTAGCTTACTTCAGTACTTTGAACCGCAAACGCTTCCTCGATACATGGTTTTAATGCTTCCATCATTTGATTATCGTTAGGATCATAACAAACGTATTGCAGAAAATCTTGATCAGAAACGGCACCAAGAGCCCGGAAAGCGATCACCACTGGTACATCTTTCTTAATGTAAGGCATAGTTGCTTGGATGAATTGTCCGGTCGACTTAAATAGATAGTTGAATTAATTGCTAGTCATTGAGTTACGATATTAACAAAAAAAAAGAGACATACTCCTTTATCAGCTGTCTTTGCTAACATTTTGACGACCAATGAACTAGCCAATTTGGATCCCTTTTCCATAGCACTTCTTATCTCAGCAGTATAGGAATAAGGTGAGGGAGGGGATTTTGCAAACACATATACAGTATTTGTTGCCATCCTTTCTTGAGCGATTAATACTTTTTCGGATCCATTGATGATGAAATAACCACCCTGACATATAGTATGCAATATCACATAATAGATTATTTAAAATTATCACATTATTTATGTTTGCTTCATGACGAGTCATGAAAATGAAAAAAAACCTGATCATACGGACATTCGTTCAATGCATAAAGGCTTTCATCGTCTAAGCCATGAAGCACGCAGTATGTCGATTTCAACATGACTGGAATCTGTTAAATATATAATCGTAATGAGACAATTATTTAAACTTAAATATATTCAGATATTTAGGATCTATACCTTTCCAACAAAAACTTTATCATAAGTTTCTTCTTTTGGATCATCTTTTAACTTATTTTCATCAAACATTTCGGCTAATGTTGGCTTTCCCCTGTTCTCCGGAGCTCTGGGATCAGCGTATAATGCTTCTTCTTTCATGTTGACATAAAGTGGTGCAGCATAACTGACGAAAAAAAAATTCATTAAATTGATAAATACAATGTTAATATACTTCCACACGCGTATAATAGCAATGATAATAGATATAATCAGTGCTTAAAATTCGAGTTTGATTTTTTAAATTCTTAATTTTCTCAAGTTTTGCTCTTTATAAATTAAGTCAAAAAAATTGATTTAAATGGAGAATATATTTTAATAATTATGCTTTTAAAAATCGTGTAGTGTTCTCAAAGAACACTGAAAATCGAATTTAAACACTGGTTATATAATGATGCGTACGTCAGATTTCGCAGACGTGCTTCTTGTGGAAACATCGCTTGGACACTACCATCTGATTCAGTCATTGTAGGTTTCGAAAGATAAACTTGACCGAATCGAATATAAAATCTTTTCTAAATGAGCAATTATAAAGAATAAATTTCTAAGAAAATTTGCTCCAGATCTTGATTTTCTTTTGTAAAGGTATTATATCTGAACATACTGCTTTATCACCATCTCCCGTTTGGCTTCCTGAAAAAGTTTGTAGAACTAAATTTTTATTTTCATCAACAATTTCTTGCATGGTGTTTTGCACAAATTCGTCAAACGAATCGAGTTGTTGGCGAACAAGTCCTTTATCATGAAAAAACGATGATATAACTGTCCAACAATCTTCTTGTGTAATATCGGGTTGTATTTCGGCATCTTGTAGATCGTCTAATATTAAGATTCATGAGTACACTCGTTATCATAAACTTTGAATTCATTGTACAGTCAACCTCTTTATAACGAACTGACAGTTCTTATTTTCAAAAGTTCCTTATAATTTACTATGTTTTTATATCGAACTCTATAATAAATTTTGTTAAAAAAGTTCATTATAAAGTAGGTTCATTATGTCTAGAGTCGACCGTATTAATTTATAATATATCCATAGAAATATAGGAACAAATAGGTTTTATATACATTAATATGAGATATTTATTTTACTTTATATTTCATAGCAAGAAGCCAATCCTCGTAGATCACTAAAATTATTTTAGCATAAATTATTCTAAAACCTTCTAAAGCTAATAATAATTGACCAAATAAAATACCTTGATCATAATCTTCTTGATATTGTGTGTGATCGCCTTCTAAATCGTCCTCTAAATCGTCCTCAACAACTTGTGTCAGCATCTCTGGTATATACATGGGTGTCGAAAATATTTTGCTCTTGGCGTAAATTTAAATGGCGAAAATAATTTTGACAATCAAAAGTAAATAATTTAGTATCGGTATGTCGAAATTCCCGTGATAATTAACGTTAACCAATTAAAATAGTATATTATTGTATATACTAGAAAACGAGAAAATCGTATCAGATATAAAGAAGCTTATAAACTGATAAATAATAAATACTGTACGTATACGTATGCTAAATAATTTATCGCATATATCTAGGGAATAGATAGACTTGTGTAAAGTGGGTAAATATTATTATATTTATTACTAATAAACCCAAACTAATTTAGATATAAACCAAAACTTTAATTTTTACAATTAACCAAGGTCCTACTACTAAAGAGCTTGTACCTATTCAAGTTAAATAGTTAGCAATAAAAGTTTAACGTAATAAAATAGCTTTAGACAATTACAGTATAATTTGATATGGTCCAATAAACGGTGGTCTGTTTTGTCTTCTAAGCGAAGTTCTTCAGGTTCCCGATCTTTTCATACAGTGAATATTCACACTCTTGTGAAGCTAACGGTAAAAAAAGATTGTATTATTTATTAGTGAAACGTTACGTTATCAAAAAGTATTCTATAAGGTATAAATAAGTTACTGGGCAATAGATTAATATTAGTCAACCACTAAATAATTGTAAAACCTATAAAAAGAATCATATAAATTTTGTTACTTTTCACTTTTCTTTAAGAAAAATTTTGTAAAAAGTGAACTCTAAAAATCAATATATAAAATTATCAGTTAGTAGTATTGATTTTTTTAAACAAAATTGTATATTCGTAGCCTTTCTGTAACACTTATACAGAAAGGTTACGAATTAATTTAAATATAATACACTATAAATAATCTTGTCAAAATAAATAAAGCAAAACAAAGAGAAATTATTATATAAAATAAGCTTACAAAAAAATATCAAAGTTTAAAAATATATGTTTTTTGTAAAATATATGTATAAACATAAAAAAAATATTTGATTTCTTTTCTTCAAAAAGTTTTCTAAGTTTTACAATTAGTTAATATGTTTTGAAATTGGATAATAGTTTGACAGATATACAGAAAAGAAAATTTAATGTTGGATTAGATAGCATTTAGTTGTATGAGAATCAAGATAACTAATTGCTTGAAGCAGTATAAGGATTAGAGTATTTAATTAGATAGTTTCTTAATAGATTATATATATAACAGTTAGTATAGAACTTTTAAGCAGGGGTGTGACAATCTAGTAAAGTGAATAGGTTGTCAATCTTCAAGTGACAGGTCTAGAATTCAAATCTCAATGATGATGAAAATTTGCAATTTTTTTCATGTTACAGTTAATTGTCTTTCATGATTAGTTAGAATAAGACACCTGTAACCTATGTTATACTAGCATGATTAGAAGATCTAGGCATTCATGCAATGTTGTATAAAGAAACACAAACCAGTACCAGGCAGTATGAACTCAAGATAAGTCCTTAGATCATATAAATTATAGAAACCAGATAGTAAGACAGAAGCCTACTTGGAAAACTTAAATAAAAAAGTAATCTGAACTTTTGATGATGTTACTGTAAGGACTAAACTAATGAAATAAAGCTAAAAATTGTAAAACTAGACAAAGAGTCAGCCTTTAAGAAAGAGTTAAATGAAACCAACCAGGCTGTCAGAATTCATTTCAGAGAAAAAGGTTACATGCTGGCAAATATGTAAATTAAAAGTGTATAGTTATGATTTGTTTTTCTGGCCTATCTGGTTTAGAAGCTTAGTAGAACTTAAATTAAATACCAAAATAGTAGGAATATGTTGTAAAGTTAATATTAGGATTAAGATAAACTCTACAAAAACATAGTAGTTTAATAGTACATTCTGACTGTTAATATTATCTTGGTCATAGCAATATTAGATCAGTTATAAAAATAAGATACAGAAGATTCTAGAAGGTTTAATATAAGATCAAAGGTTTTTCATATAAGTGAACTGCTTTAAAAACTTAGTAATCATGGCATATTTTCACTGACATTAGTCAGAGTTATTAGTAAACAGAAATAAGTAGATAAATATAGAAACTAAAATGATTAAATAGAGTACTTACAGGCAGGTTCCAAATATGTCAACTAGTATAGAACCTTCAAGCAGACTACTTAAATTAGACAATAACTAAACTTGTACAAGTAGCTAGTTGTATACTCTTTTCATAATTGCCTTCTGTAGTTATAATGCAACTATTAATTAAATATACTATCAATAAAATTCTGAATCATAAGTATTTATCTTAATATTTAAAAAAAATAAATAGAACCTTTAAGCAAACTAGTTAAATAAGTAATCAAAAGTTATATATATGTTTAGTATATATTTATTTTATATTTCTTAAACTATATTCCAGACAAATTTGTCTGAAAAATTAAATTGTATTTAATATTTTTTAAATAAAATAATAATTTATTAATAATATAGAATATATTTTGTTTATAAAATATATATATTTTCAAATTTTCTCTCTTCTGCAGATCCCTCGACCAAAAATCATCAAGAAGCAAAATAAGAAATAACATAGAAACACACTAAAAAACAACACCTTGACTTATAGCAAAAAAGATAGAGCA